AATTGAAATTCTGGGTATCGTTCCAAGTTGTCTTGGACATACACAAGGATGTCAAAAGACCCCACAGGTGTAAGAAGGCGGTGTTATGTCCGACTCCTCAGCCCCGCTCTTGGCCCCTGCAGCTGCTTCTGAAAGTGCAGAAAAGGATAAGCAGACTTTCATGCCTCTGCTAGCTTGCTCCACAAAAGTATCTGATAAAAGCTTGTTGCAGATGGCATATTTTGATCGAGGCATTTCTTTACCTCTTTCATCACCTATCGCCATGTGCAAAGGTCTTGAAGCTTGTTGCAATTTCCATTTCTGATTTTAATCTACCCCAGAGAATAAAGTGAGGAGGAATGTGCCCATTGTCTTGGTCTTTAGGGACAAAATATGAAATGTAAATATAAAAATTCCTGATAAAATGAGGGAATTCAACACAGCCCTTGGACTCTTCTGGTTTTCGGGGTTAGGGAGTGCCATATACCCTCTCTCTGTCTCTCTCTCTCTTTGTCCTGGTTCCTTTCCCATATTTTAGTGCTCAAAATAGTGTGAGGGATGACTTTAGAAAGAGTAGAAATGTTGATTCTTCATGTGCCACCACAACTACTTCATATGCTACCACAGTGTCCTCTACAAGGTGATCAGAGGGAACTAAGACAGAAGGACAGTTGAATGCTCTGGAGGAAGCATCTGGGCAGGAAATGACAATTATTGGCATTGCGTCTGTAGATCAGGGGCCACCCTAGGTAGACATGAAGGAAGAGCGCGGTGGTGGTCATTTGGCCCAACATTTTTAATCTCGGGCTAATAAATACATTTTGCTTTTTAAATGGAAGGACCATAACAATTGTAATATATTCTATCATCTTCCTCTTCTGTTCTGGGAGCTGACTGGGTCAGAAAGTAACTTTTTAGTACAGCACCAATATGTTTAAGATTCTGGCAAATATTACTAGTTTCTGCACTGTAGTTGCAACTCCGAAAAATGGAGTTCAGATTGTTTGACTAAGTAGATGTCTGCTGAATTAGACTGGATTGGCAGAAGTGATGGTCTGCCAGCTTCTTGCTAGATCCTTTGATCCTTTGACTACCTGATGCCTTTCCAGCAAATGTGCCTTCATTACCAGCTGGACTAGGTAGATGGAAACAGGAGTTGATTTCCTTACTTTGTAGGACCAACTTCATTTTCTTCAGAAGAGAAAGAGCAAAAATGACGTGAGGAGTTTGCCAATAGATATTGGTGCCTGAGATGGAAATTCCATATCCTTCTTGGCTTACAAGTTGTGTGGCAAAGGCAGATTGTATGAAGACCAAGATTGTGGCTTAGTGCAAAATGAAAGGTTGGGCAAGGCCGCGTTTTATTTTGTCAGCTCTTGCTTGAAAGGACATTATATTTTAGTTGCCTCTCACCATGGGAAACTTGTGTTGGGGTTTCGTTCTAGAAGTTGAAACGAAATAACTAAGCAGAGGAGAGAGACTAAGCAGAGGTTTTCTAATCAGCAAGCAATTGCAGTCTTGTGTTTAATGCAAGGTTTTCAGGCAGGAGACATGATTGTTTTGAACTTCTAACTCATAATGTGACAAAAGGTGCCTTTTTGCCTGAAATGGGGACAACTGTACTCAGTTACACAGTCTTCTGATTATGCAAATAATGGCCAGGATTTTTTAAAATTATAACAGATTTTTTTTTAAATGATGATTTATTAAGGAATCCATAGAAGCTGGGTTGACGCATCATATAAAGACGCTGTCAAATTAATGTTGACTCCTGATGACTTTGTGGACATGGGCAGGCAAAAATACAGAAACTATTTACCTTTTTTCTTTCCTTTTCTTTTTAAAAAAAATCCAGTTCATTCTATAGCCATCCATGTATTAATCAGGTCCAATCTTGCTTAGCTTTCTTCATAATTAGCTAAGGATAATTGCTTAACTATATTTGCTATCATAATGGTTCATGCACCATGGAAAGCCATAAGTAAAGAAACCAGATTCTAGCTTGGTGTTTTGTGTGAATCAGGTTATATTATAATATTCTGTTTGCTCAAGCTGATTTATTTTGTCAGAAAAACTTATTATGAGGGCTGTAAATCAGACCATTGTATTACATAGTTTCTATCTACCAGTTATGACTAAAAGGTATTATTGTTGGTGGAGAACATTCTGTTTCATGAAACCACTAACTGTACAACTAGTTTTAAAAGCAAGAAATAACGAATGCACTTCTTATTTTGGATTTATTTATTTATTAATTTGATTGACTTTTCCATGTTTCCACAGAAGAATAGTACTCAGGGTGGTGATTCATTTATGGACTTTGCCTCTTTTTACGAGATTGCTGTAGTGGTTATTTACAACAACAGAGCTGGAATGTCAGCCAAATATATTACATAAAACAAGAATCTCCTTGTGTAAGTTGAGGTCTATGTTTTTGTTGCATTCTGCTATGAAATGGCAGGAATTTTTGAAAAGTGCTGCAGGAATCTTGATTTATACAGACAGTGTATTAGAAGGAAGGGATATAGAGCTTTTCCATTTATTCTCCTGCCCGGAATCGCCTGTTCCTTTGCTTCCTTGTTGGCATCATCAAGAGAGAATGCTTGAGACTTAGATGAGAAGTACTCATTATAACAGTATAGGGCTGGGGTTGCCAGCTATCCATATTTTTTCATGAGAATTTTTGATACAATTCCCATACATGCATTGTAGAGGTTTTCCATGCCTTTGTGTCTATTACTGTACTAAACAACTCAAGGCTGATTGACAAATGTCTGTTCAGTTCAAGACCACCTCCCCCAATCAGTCAGAATCAGCATCTGATATGACCATCTGATAATGTTGCATGGGATGCCCCATTTCTGTGAAGTCAGCGGAGCTGAGGCCAGTAGAAAAGGTTTATGGCTATCCTGTTCTGGAACAGCCTTCCTGTGGAAGACTTATCCAGCATCGATGGTCTTTGGAACCAGATTCAGATGGACCCCTTATGGGGGCTTTTTAAACTTCATCATGTGGTGATGCCATAATTCTACAGAATGTTTTGTATGTTGCCCCAGTTTTAGATAGTTGGTTGATTGTTTTGATTATTATTTATGTATTGTGTAGGTGACAGTTCTCCTTTATGACTTCATTTAATAATGGAGAACATCCACCCATAGAAGCACACCTTGTTTATTTCGGTACGGAGACTTGATAGCAAACTGATGCAACCCCCTTTTATAGGTTGATGCAAATTGAAGTATACATGAGGTAATAAAGGTGGTTTTATTAAGAATACAAAGAGTGTGTGCTAGAATAAGGATTACTGTCTGATGTTTCTGTTCTGTTCCTGTTATTTCCCTTGTTCTTGCTTCCTATTGCTCTCCTCCTCACCTCTCAATATCTCTTATCCTTTTTATCAATATTCTTTTACCTTCTAACCATTTTTATGGCTGTGCTGGCATTTTTATTGGTTTTCTAAAGGGCCCAGGAAAGGAGACTGAGAAAAGTGGTGTGATCTGCTTAGCCTAGCTAACCCATTTTCTCTTCATCCCCCCCCG